CTAATTCTTGGATGTGGCATGGGGGGGGGGGGGAGATTTTGCCATCTCAGCATATGTTTCTTTGGGATACTAACTGTTTTAAGGTGGTTATTTTAAAAAAAAAATCAATGACTCCAGAAAAACCTTTGACGTCCCCCTTAGCTGCCTAAAAGGAATGTAGGTAGAGGACCTGCTCCGGGCAGGGAGCGGTCACCAGACACCTGCAGTGTAACGTGAGCTGGGTGTGACAGGGAGCAACCTAGCAAGGTCCATCGGTCAGTCCTCCGTGTCCCTTTGTTGAAGATGGCCAAGGAAACACCTGTTTACCGACTGTGTTTCCAGCCCCACTGAATAGCCTCCCTGCCCTTCGAAGGTCCCAAACCTCAGCCCTTCCCCCCTTATCCTTAGCTCAGGATGTCATCGAGGCCTTCATTTCCCCGTACGTCCTGGGGTCTCATTCCCATGGCACCCCCACACGAACCTACGTATTAACTGTGGTCATTTTCTCCTGTTCATCTGTCCTGTTTTGATGATTAGTCAAGCCACGAGAACTCTCTAAGGGGAGGAGGACATTTATTTTCTCTTTCCCCACAACATAACAGTCATCATCCGTCCTGCCCAGAAGAGATGGTTCAGATATCCTCTTGGTTTTACCTAAGAGAAACGGAGGCTCGGGAGGGGCGGCGACTTCTCTAAAGCCCATAAGGAAGGGTGTGGCAGGACTCGAGACTCCAGAGGCTCACCGCCAGGGGCGGGCGGGCGGGTGGAGGACAGCTGATGTGTGTCGGAACCATCGCTGCACTGAGCGCAGGCCAGGGACGGCTCTGCACCTCGCCTTCGTTCATTTGGGAGCAGAAATCATTCTAGATTTCTTCAACGACGGTAGGCATGAACAACAAATTCGCAAACTGAAACAAAGCAGTCCGTATATCAACCTTCCAAAAGCCCGATTTAGCGGGTCAGGTAGAGAACATGGGACGCATGGCAGAGCCAGAGATCAGTCAAGTCCACTCAGGTTAAATCATCACAGCGCAGCAGCGCCGACGCGTGGGTTCCGAGTCTAAGCCGGTTTAAGATGCTGTATTTGCTGACGGTGCTCCTGCTCGTGTGCACTGAACCCAAACGCACCAGGAGAATGGCAGCCACTGAAGCAAGGATGGGAACGAAACACGTTTTTCTAGTGCCATCTATTGGCCAACTCTGGCGCAGGCTCCGTGAGCCTTATTTTAACTATGAAGCAACTGAAGCCCCACCAGGTGGCTGCTATGCAATGGGGTGCAGGCCAGGGTGTTCTCAGCAGAAGGGGACGATGCATCTTGAAAGGCCACCAAGAAATGTCCACTGAGCACCTTCTGTCAGTCAGGGTCTCAGTCAGGAAAACGGGAGATATTTCAACAGGGAGGGTTTGCTCTAGGGCAGTGGTCCACAACCTTCCTGACGCTGCGACCCTGTAATAACAGCTCCTCACGTTGTGGCGACCCCCAACCATAAAATTATTTTCGTTGCTACTTCATAGCTGTAATTTTGCTACTGTTATGTCTTAGGCGACCCCTGTGAAACGGGTCGCAACCCCAGGTTGAGAAGCTGCGAGTCTGAGGGGTGGCTGAAACAGGTGTTAGCACGCTGGAGTGGCGAGTCCCCCCGCACCCCACCCAAGAGGTCCGGCTTTGCCCAGACCTCTGCTCCCACGTCACCTTGAACAGCCCCTTCTAAAACACTGCCTGGCCCCCCATGCTGACCTTGCTCTGCCCTCTCATCCAGCTTTCTGTACCCCCCTTTCCAGTCCCTGACACCCCGTATCTATTGTCTGCCCCGTGGGGATGGCAGCTCCATGAAGGGAGGCCTGGGTGCCACTCACCGAGCCTGTGTGAGCGGCACACACAGGTGCTCCGTAGGCAGATGCTGGTGGGGTGAACGGGTGAGACCCAGAGAGCAAGCGTATTGCATTCTTCGCAGGAGAGTGAACGAATCGGACCAGCGAGGGCTTCACCGGAGCCAAAGGAAACGCGAAGTATTATTATTTCTCCCTTATTTCTGCCCGTCTGTGGTAAGATTAATTTGACTAATGAACCAGATCCTTAAACCCACAACATTGTGACTCGGCTTTCTCAGAAGAAGCGACGTTGTGTTTGGCCTCCTGCACCTCTTTAAGACAGACCGGCTCCCACAGGACGTTGAGCGCGGCTTTGTTTTTAACAAAGAGCCAATTCATGTGGTTTACACATGCTCGGTACGTGAGACACAGCGAGTTCTCACCCCCGACAGGAATGCTTTCAGGATCACGGTCTGCACATCGGAGGAAATCGATGGTCCGGCTGTCCAGCCTCCCCAACGGGCAGATGGCAGGTCGACTCTGCCGTTGAGACTGGGCACTAACGGCAAAACCTGACTGTAGCAGTTCTCCGAGTTTTAAGTGTCTTCCAGGAGATAACAGCAGGCCTCCTCCCAGAGCTCAGGAGGCCACCAGATAAGACCCAGCTGGATCAGCCTGGATGTGGAGGCTCAAGCAGGTGCAGGGAGCAGCCCGATGACCCTAAGCTGACCTCGAAAGCACCGCAGAACCCAGATCCACGGTCTCAGGTAGCGGGGACGCTGCTTCCTCCAGCCGGAGCCCGTTGAGAAGCTGGGGGTCCGTCAGTAAGGAAGGTCCAGTATGGGGACCTCACGTGGACTCACAAAGGACAGATGAGCCGAACTCCACCAGGTCCCTTCTTCGCTCTCCATCCACCCATCCCCATCCCGACCTTAGCTGGCTTAGTTCCAAGGCCGCCCCATCAGACGCCCAGTATTAGAAGGAGCACGTGGAGGGCCTCCGCTTACCCTCTTGGAACGGACGCAAGCCTTTGTTTGGGGGGACTGATTTGAGCATTGTCTCTGGTCTCCTTGCTGGGCTGGCCTGGCACATAATCTCTTTTTTCTCTTCAAAATTCTGCTGCTGCCGACTTTTGGCTTCTCTCTTAACAGTGGGCGTTGAACTCAAGCCCCTTGCTCGGTGACACCCATGTGAAACCCTGCTCAAGAAGTGCCCTCGGCTGTGAGGGGCACAGTTCACCACCCCAAAATATGCCTTTTGGGGATATTAATTATGTTAAGCTGGTTATTTTTAAGAAACAAAAGACTCAGGGGGTGGGGGGATACAAACCCTTTAAATTCCCTCTATCTGCCTAAAAGAGTCGGGACAGAGGACTCGCTCTGCGGGGGGCTGTCTCATCTATGACCATATTTTAATATGAACTTGGTGTGATGGACAGGGAGGGACCCAGCAAGGCCCATATGACTGTGTCCTGTTGTTTCTAGATGGCCCAATGACGTCTGGCTCTTTGCTTCTCTGTGACTCGCCCTACTTCCCACTTTGTCCAAAAGGACACACATGCCCCCCTTTGCCCTGCTGGTTTTCCTGCGTAAGTGACTTGCCCACGTGCACATTTTAAAACTTAATCTTCTCCTGTTCGTCTGCTGCACGTCCCTTGACTTATTCCACCAGCCAGGAGAACTTAGAGGGCAGAAGGACAATGATGTTTCCTCCCCTACAGTGGTCCATCTGTCACTTTGCTTGGCTAGCCTCCGGATTTCCCTCTGCTGGCCCCTGGCCCTCGCGGTGTTCTCTCCCTAATCTCTGCAATGGAGGAACCCTCTCAGGTGCTCCCTGCAGCTTGGACCTCAGCCCCTCTCCCAGGCAGCATTCCCATCTACACCCATCTGAGTGGGACACGGCTACACCTGCCCCTTCTCCACCCATCTCCACCCCTGAGACCTACCACCAGGCCCGCTCAGTGCCGGTCATTCCCCCGGAGCCGCAGCTCCCCCACCCACATCCAGCAGGGTGGGCCTCTGTGCTGCCGTACAGAGTGTTCCCTCTGCAGATAACGTCCGTTCCCGCGTCTGCACTTTGCTTTCACGCCCTTTCCCTCCCACCTCCACGGGGAAGCCTTCCCCGACACAGAGCCAGAAGAGGCCAGCTGGTCCTTCCTCTGGGCTCCGCGTCTGCTGCTTAGATGGCCTGGTTGTGCTTGCTGTCTCCCTGGACCCCGAGTGTCTTGCTGACCGGACTGTGTAACTCGCAGTGGTGGCCACAGTGTCCCTCTGTGGTCTAACCAACTCAGCATCAGACAGGTGGTGTGAGAACCAGCAAACTGTCAAACGAGAAAGAACTGAGGCTGCCACGTAAAACAGGAGTTTACTTGGGGTGTATGAGCCAGCTCCTCACCAGGAATGTCTAGATAGACAGGCAGACAGGTAGGTGTCCTGTTGGTTCTGTTTTTCTATGGACCCCCTGACTCATGCAAGCAGTTAACCCCTCAGGGTTTCTGTGAAGACTAGAGGAGATGTTTATGAAAATGACTACTCTGTGCCCACCTTGCTGTGGGCACTCAGCGACAGGTCCTCCCCTACCCCCTGCTTCCCAAGCTCTGCTGAGCTCCCTCACCTGGGAAGGAACACGCAGAATCAAATATGCCTGAGTGGACGGAGTCCCCTCTCCAGGTAGAGTGGATGACACCACATTCAGTGGGATTTCCTACAGTCACTCAAATGAGAAAGGACGTGTCCCCAGAGGTCTGCCCTAGCCCCGCCCTCATACCCTGTGCTTACTGTCTGCCTCCTCCGGAGTGGCCACTGCACGAGGGCCGGGGTTACATCTGTGCCGTCCGTGTCGGCTCCCCAGCACCTGGACAGTTACTAATGTGCAACTGGTATGCAATAAGCATGTAGCAGATAAAAGCAGGAATGAATGAAGATAATGTAACCTGAGAAAATGTTTAGGAAATGTAACTTTAAGTGAAGAAAGTGAATCACAGAATATGTACATTATAATTTTAATCACATATTTAGCAAAAAGTATTGAATCCACCACATCCTGCATTGTGTCAGACACTGGAGATAGACAGTTGAATAAGATCGAGTTTCTTATTTTAAAGGATCCACGGTCTAGCCCGGCCGGTGTGGCTCAGTGGATTGAGCGTCATCCCATGGACTGAGAGGTCCCGGTTCGATTCCCCGTCAGGGCACATGTTGTCTCTCACATCGATGTCTCTCTCTCTCTCTAAAAGTCAATAAAAATATATTTAAAAAATAAAAGGTCCACAGTCTAGAGAGCAGACAGGACCACAGAACTGCGGTTGGAGGCAGGGGGGGGGGTGAGTGCCCACGGAGAGATGTGTGAAGTACCGTGGGAACCGTGATGCGGCAACCTAACTGGTAACAACGGCTCTCGATTACGGAGGCCCACTGTGGGCCGGAGACCCTGCGGATCTCGCTCAGACATCATTTCAGGCCATTATCCCAGCAGCCCCACGGGGCAGGTGTTAGCCTCATCCCTCCAGTAGTGATAGAGAAGCCAAGGTACAGGGGGGCAAAGGAACTCACTTGTTTAGCATCTCCTGGCCCTCCGGGGCAGGGTGGAGTCAGAAGCCAGGCGGGTCTGCCCCCAGAGCCTGTCCCTAGGCCCTGGGCCACATGCTTCAGGGTCATACTTACAGAGAGCTGAAACTCAAGCGTGAGATGGACAGAAGTTTGATGGCTCAGAAAAGAAAATACTGGAAGAAAATGTATTAAAAACCGAGGAGGGAGAATGCTAGAGAAAATATGCAGTGCGTACCCAAACTTTCCCGTACTTTTCAAATTTGTGTGATCATGTGTTTCCTTTATTATCATAAATAACTTTGGTAATATGATCTAGAACTGAAAGTTTTCATTTCAGTGTTAATTATGAAGAAAAACATCGATTCTCATTGGATTCCCTGCTACAGCAGGAGGGAACCTTCACCTTGTGTTACATTCAGCCAGCTCCTGCCTCACCTCACTGACTTTCACGGTGCTCAGCAATGCACCGTCTTTGCTGACTTAAGCTTTGCTTTATTCTGGCCATGCCTTGAACGGTCAGAGTCCATATCAAAACCAAGGGTTATGCAACCTTTGTCCACGCAAGCCTAGCAAGAATTCCCCAGCACTCAATTTCCTTATTAACAAAACCAAAAAAATGCTGCTTCAGCCTCCATAGAAGCTGTTTCTGGAAGCTGTTTTTTGAAAACAATGGTGAAAACACATGCGAACTCTAGCTTTTCATTCTAAAGCCGCAGCTCATTAATTCTTCCTTTGCCTGCCTCTTTTTCCTACCTTTTCAAATGTAGCGGCATTCAGCACAAATGCCACCAGCTCTGTCACCCCCACCCTCGTCAGTCAGGGAGAGAACTCCAACTCCAAAGAGCTTATGATTTCGTAAAAGTGTATGCGGGTGGATTTATTAGCTCCTATCACTGGACACCCAGGAGGCAAATCCAGCTTCAGGATTGGCTGAGCCCGGGGCCTGAAATGATGTCATCTGAATTCTATGTCTCTTGCATCTTTCAGCTTAGTTTCACTTCTACAGACTGGCAAAAAGACCAGTCCTGGCAGCTTCTGACCCACATTCTCCCAGTTTAGCAACCTCAGTGGGGGGTAGGGGGGTGAGGGGTGTGACTGCTCTTTCCCAGAATCTACATATAAATTCAGGACAGGATTCTGTTTGGCCTGGCTTGGGTCACTTCATGAGAAGATACAGTCACGTGATTGACAATCTGACCAGGAACAAAAGTGAGAGAGGGGAGCTCCATAAAAGGAACAGAGATGCTAGAAAAGCACACATACACACACACACACACACACACACACACACACACACGACAGGATTTTTGAAAAGTGCTGTCCCCAAATCTCCACCTGTCTGTATATTCACCCCTATTTACACGGTCAGTCAGCATCTCCTCCCATCAAAGAGAAAGCCTATTTCTCCCTGAATTGGGGCTGGTTTTGTGACTTGGTTAGAACAACAGGATGAAGCAGAGGTGAAGGTGTGCCAGTCCCAAGCCTTAACCTCAAGATGCCTTGAGTCTCTAGCTCTCTATCTCCCTCTATCCCTCTCCCCTGTCTTTCTGCGAACATGCCCAGGGTACACTGGAGGAATGAGACATGGAATAGAGCCAAACTGGTTGTCTTAGCTGAGGCCCCAACACACGAGAGAGCCTTGCCAAGATCAGTAAAGCCATCGAGAGCCCACAGCTGACCATGGGCTCATGTGTAACCCTGACAGCCTAGCTCCGGAGTCTACGGGTTGGCTGATGGCCAGAACCCAACAGCCAACCCATTGACTCTGGAGCAAAATAAATGTTTGCTGCTGCATACTCCTGAGGTTTTGTGGTTGTGCTGTAGCATTACTGTGATAACTGATAAATTGTGCCTGCTATACCTTTCTGACATCCCTATTCTGCAGGCAGAGCTAGTCAATCCCTCCTACCTCTCTCATAGCAGTTACTTATATAGCCCACAATATATACGGTTGCAGTTTTCATAGTTGAATTGTAACCATTTATTTTAACTACTTGTTTACATGTCTATCTCCTCGCCAAGAAGCTCTTTGAGAGTGGAACTTTTTAACAAAATCTTTTTTGAGCCCAACACTTGGCATAGGGTATGATAAAGAACAGAAACTGGCGCCTTGGCCAGTGTTGCTCAGTGGTTAGAGCATCAGCCCTCAGACTAATGAGTCTTGGGTTTGATTCCAGTCCAGGGCATGTACCTCAGTTGTGGTTCGTCCCCGGCCCTGGTCGGGTCATGTGGGAGGCAACCAATTGATGTGTCTCTCTCACATCGAGGTTTCTCTCTGTCTCTTTCTCCCTCTCTCCCACTCTTTCTAATGGTAAATAGAAAAATATCCTTGGGTGAGGAATTAAAAAAAAAAAAAAAGGAACAAAAACTGGCAAAACAGTCATAGGAATTCTGAGGATGAAATGCCACCAAAAAATATCTGTGAAACCATGCTGAGTGTCCAAGTGACCATTTTTTCTTAGGTAACAGCCACTTGGTTTTCTTTCCCTGCGGACTGCACACATTCATGTTTTTATATGTTTTTCTATGGGGTTGTTTCTCTTTCTTCTTACTATTTTGTGAATGTTTTTCAATTTCCTGGGTATATATTCTTTGCCAGACCCATGTGTCAAAAATATTTCCTTCCAGTCTTTCACTTCTGTTATGGTGTCATGGGTAAGCATGAATTTTTTAGTTTTAATGAGGTTTTCCCATCATTCCTTTGTATTTTGTATTTTGTGTTTATTTAAGAACGCCTCCTTATCTTGGGGTCATAAACATGCCCTCTGCATTGTCTGTTAAAAGTTTTTGAGTTTTGTTTTTCATATGTGGGCCTTTAATCAGACTGGAGTTTAATGCACACACAGGGCACATTCCTGTATATGGTACAGAGTAGAGAATCAATTGCTTCAGCATCACTTAGTGACTGTGTAACCCCCCACCTGGGATGCCGGCACACAGCCAGTTTCTATACACTGAGACCAGGCCGGGTAGGTCCGGTGCACTAAGCTATATGTCAGTCCCTGAGCAAACACACTACATCTGTATTTATAGGGTGACACTCCACTTTGCTCTTTTTCTTCAAAATTGTTTTGGCTATTTCTGGCTCTTTATTTTTCCACATACATTTTCCCAGCCACTTTGTCAAGTTATACACTCTAGAGATGTCAGAATTTTGCTTGGAATTGCATTGTATTTATGGGTTAATTTGGGGGAAATTTACGACTTTGAAAATGGAAGCTGCCTATGGAATGATGTAATTCACCATTTGTTAGGTTTCATCTGCCTCCAAAATATACCCAGAACCCAGTAATTCTTGCCGCCTCCCTCCCGTTACCAACCTGGTCCGAGCCACCACCGCCCCTCCCTACTGGCCTCTGTCTGCCTCCACGTCCCCTCCCCCACCGCCTGTGCTCCTTTCAAGGACAGAAACCAGGTCGCGGCACGTGCAGCACCAGTAATGCCACACTCCACATTTTGGAAGCACTGCTTCACATGCATAAACGAGCGAGTGAGCAAGACCCCGCGGATACAGAGATCTAAGCACGCGGTGGTCCCTCGGGAAACCAAAATAGAAACCTGGCTGTAGCCTGCGCGGAGCCCGGAGCCCGCGCCACCCACCGGGAGGATGCACTTGGGAGATAACGCTGGAGGCTGAGCCGGGCAAGGAGCCAGAGGCCGAGCCAGTCACTGGCGTGAGGCCCGGACCGAGGGAAGGCGGGGCCCCGCTTGGTGACTCAGGGGGCGGGGCGGCCTCGCGCAGGCGCACTGGCCCAGCCTGCCCTGGGGTCTCCGCCGGCTGGAGCCCTGACGCACTGTCGCGGCGGCGGGAGAAGCGTTTCCGGTGGTGACCCAGGCGGCGCCTAGCCGGTCCTGCAAGTGGTACTGGAGGCGGCCCGCGGGGAGAGGTAGGTCTCGGGCGGCAGCGCGGCAGCGATGGAAGGCAGCGCGCAGGGAGCCTGGCGCAGGGGCACGGGCTCGGGCAGGGGTGCGCGTTCCGGGGCCGGCTCCAGGGCGCCCCCCGGCCCTGCGATCACAAGACCCCGAGCCATGCTTGGGCCAGGGGTCCTTGCACCTTGGCAATGCTGCCGTCGGCTGCCTGGTAACTCCCCGCTCCAGCAGCCCGAGTTCCCCTGAGCTCTGCAGATGGGAGGGGGCTCACCACGCACACCCCCTGCCACGCTGTCCCTGGTGGCAGCCACGAGGAACTGAGTGGGGAGAGCCCAAGATGGCTGCCGCGGGGACAGGCCCCTGGGCACACGGTTGCTAGGTAACCAGGTGGCACCGACCCCCCGCGCCCCTCGTGCCCCTTCCTAGTTCTTGGCTTGTCCTGGGGCAGAGAGGCTCTGCGGTCAGAGGAAACCACGGGCCCCTGCCCTAGAACTCGCAATCCAGGAGCGAAGAGATGGGCCACAGCCTGGTCTGGGTGGGGGACCTTGCATTTCTGTGCTCTTCTGATCTGTCCCTGCTGTCCCAGGTCTCCAGCCTTATCAGAATGCCAGTCACCGCATTGCCTAGTAAATGTGTGCAGGTGATTTAGGTCCCTGTACTTTTCAGTTCTTCCAGCGCTGTGAGGTACTTGTGCTGCCTTCCTAATCCAGATGAGAAAGCCGGGGCTCAGAGAGGTTGAGTAATCTGCCTAAGGTCACACAGCTGGCCATCAGTATAGCTTCCCCTAGGCGGAGTTGTGTAAATTGCCCCCCTCACGCACACGTCCTTTGTTAGATGTGCCCCTGTGATTTTCCTTGAATAGCATTTGTCAGCAGTTGAACTGAACTGTGTTTACTTGCTTTATGCTCTCCTTGTGGTCAGGCCTAGGCTTATCTCTGCTCACTGGCCTCTGCACCCAGCAATGGCCTGCACCCCATGCACACTCAAGGAATAGCTGCCGAGTGCCTGACCGAGACCCCGAGCTCTGCAGTGCTGGGGTGACTTCCCCCTCTATGGGCCACTGCCTTCTGGACCCCCGGGGCATCTTGTTGGTGATTTTCTCAAAGGTCTCAATCTCTTCTGCCTCACCCTCTGGATTTTGATTTGGGTGGTTCTAGATTTTCTCTTCCTTTGTCCATCCCCAGTTTACTGAGCTTCCTCCGTGTCCTGGGCATTGTAATAGGTGAAAGGGGGTACTCAGGTAAATAAGGGGGCATTGCTGCTGTTATGATACTGGACTCAGACCTGACATACAAGAGTTATAAGAGGAGAGGGAGCTCTGTGGGAGGGTGAGTGGAGGCTCCACCCAAAAGTGCAGGCCCTCAAGCAGGTCCCTTGTCCCCTCAGGACTGCAGGCACCTGGCTCGCCAAATGGTGGTGGTTGGAGAGAGGGCGCAGTCGGTTCCACTCAGCTCCAGTATGTCGTGGCTCTGTACTCACCCTGGGCTAGGCAGAGCGAGCAGGCTCCAGGGCCCCGGGGGCCTTCAGGAAATGGATGGTGCCCGTGGTTGCAGCTGTCAGAGAGGAACCTGTGTAGCAGGACTGGCTCTGTTCAGCGATGGGAACATATTTAGAACACGCTTAATATTCTGTAAAAGTTTTCTCAAGTCCCCTGTGGATGGGTATAGAAAAGTGCCAAGTGAAGTTGGAACATGTGACAAATCCATACTGAATTATAAGAAGTTCAGAGCCATTCAGTTTTGTTTTGTTTTTAATCCTCACCCGAGGATATTTTTCCATTTATCTTCAGATAGAGTGGGAGGGAGGGAAGAAGAGAGGGAAGCATCGACGTGAGAGACACATTGACTGGTTGCCTCCCCCACGACCCCGACCAGGGCTGGGGACTGAGCCGAAACTGAGGTTCATGCCCTTGACTGGAATCGAACCCGTGACTCTTTGGTCTGCAGGCCAATGCTCTAACCGCTAAGCCAAACTGGTGAGGGCCAAAGTCATTCAGTTTTTAGTTAACTTAGGCTGTTAATTTTCAGATATTTTCATAGGTTATATAATTTGTGAATGGATTCTTTGAAGTGGGTAAAATATTCAACTGAATACATCTGAAATATAACACATTGGTAGTATTTTATCATTTTTACGGGCTGATGCCACCACCTCAAGTAGAGACCAACAGAATTTTTTTTTTTTAAATGAGTAAGAGCTTTGCCCATCCTAAAATATTGATTAAGAAACCCAAACCCAATATCGATCTCGAGGACTGGAATATGGACAAGGATTGTGTTGTTACCTGGGTGTTTTAAAGGTAACAGAAAAGTGGGGTCTGCGTGGGGGGCGGCAGGTGGGGGCAGGGAGAATGGTGGGGAGAAAGGCAGCAGGCAGTGATTCTCCGTGGCTGCCTGAGTGGAGACCGGATGCCCTGCACACAGACCTCCCGGAGCAGAGGGGAGGGTGCAGCAGCCAGCCACTGCCAGTGGAAATGCCTTTGGGAGAATGTCATTCTTTGCACAGGGTTTTACTTTCTGGTCTAGAATGTGGTCTCCTGTGTGGCCACGCCCATGAGATGAGAATGCTGTGTGTGGATGACTGGCTCACAGCCGAGCAAATAGGGGGTTTGCTGTTCAGGCCTTTGGGTTGGCCGACTGCCTCGGCAGACCTGCCTCTGGCCCCCCAATGTCAGGAGTGTGGTATCAGGTCAGACAGAAGAGCAGCTTCCAGGCGGTATCATCTGGGGCATCGAACTTGTTTTCTCTGAGTAACTATAAAATAGGGGAAATTCTCATAAAGGGCTGAAGCAAGGATTAGCACTCTAATAATGCATGGCAAGGCCCGGCTGGTGTGGTCAGTGGTTGAGCGTCGACCCTGCACCAAGAGGTCACCGGTTTGATTTCCGGTCAGGGCACATGCCCAGGTTGTGGGCCCGATCCCCAGTGGGGGGCATGTAGGAGGTGGCCAGTCGATGTTCTCTCATCAATGTTTCTATCTCTCCCTCTCACTTCCTCTCTCTAAAAATTCAATAAAGGAAAAAATATTTTTTTTAAATAAACAGGGCAACCAGACTCTTCCTTACCTCTTTCAAACTGTAGTTGTTTTAACCAAGTTTCCAGTTTAATGCCTTAATTGTCATTGTTAATCTTTAGCCAGGGTTAAAGGTCTATGTTACTAAGTTCCTGACAAAGCACATTCTCTACTAACTTACTTTCTGTGTAATTGTGGAAAATTCCTTTTTTCCAGTAGTGAAGCAGTTCCCTGGCATGTAGCTCAAGGTTTGAAATAAAGTTTATCTTAGGGAAAAGTTATTGTTCTCAGACATTTATGACCATCTTTTTGGCGCTCAGGCAGCGAAGCTCCATTCTGCTCCTCCCCCACCCCGCCCCCAGCCAGTGCATCCGTGGGCTGGGCTCCAGCCACGAAGGACAGCAGCTTCCACTCCCGGAGACCGGCTTGTTCGTGAGGACCCTACCTTGGTCTGCAAGGCCCAGTTCACCAAGGTTCATAAGGCCCTCATACAGTTCAGCTCGCTAAGCCTACCGTGAGCCAACTCCGGTCTCCATCTCACGGATGAGAAAACTGAGACCGAGGCGTGCCGTGTGGCCCCCAGTGACATGCCTGGGCAGAAGGGGAGACCCGGGACGCCAACCCAGATCGCTGTGGCTAAAGTCCAGTCTGATCACATGGGTTGCCAGGGTAGGCACTCAGCAGGGCAGGGAGCCCACACAGACAGGGACCAGCCAGGAGGAACCGGCCCAGCAGCCAGTGCGAATGGCCACGGAGCCACTAAATATGCACACTGCCCCCACAGAGGGTGAGAATCTGCCTTTAACTGGTAGGGCTTGTGGTTATTACTTACTTATAATTTTTAAAATTCTTTCTAACATAGTGTTTCCCAAACTTAACTAATCATAGGGTGCTCTTGGTATACTTCTTAAAGATCAGATTCCTAGGCCCCACCACAGCTGTTGAATCAGGATCTCCAGGGAGATGCTTTTTTGGTCACAACCACCTGTCCGGGAGCAGGGATTCCAGAGCCCAACAAATGAGGTTAGCACCTCGGCACCAACACTTACTTGAGCACGTTAGCTAACTGCCCCGGTAACCGAACTGCCACGAGGATTAGAGAGGTAATGTGACAGCTTAGACTGAGTGGTCATTAGATGTTAGTACATACTACCAGGCAGTGTCCTAACTTTGCTGATAAAGGTCCTGAAACCTGGGGCCGAGGGATACTGTCTGCAAAGTCACAGTCATCAGTGGAGCTGGGATTTGAACTCAGGTCTGTTGCCTCCATGGCATACCCCTCCCTCGTCACCTCGGCGGCTTCTCAGGATCCAAATTACAGCACAGTTAGGGAGATGCTGCTTGGAGCCAGGAACTCAGGCTCAGCCAACCAGCTGGTTCGGGAAGCTAAACTGATCACCAGTGACTAACTGGAGCTGACTGTTCACCAGCCCTGAAGGCTGATGTGTGAGGGGAGATGGTCCAGGGCTGAGGAGTCGGGGGTGGCCCTCACCCTTGCACAGCTGTGCAGTGACTGCGACATCTAGCCTAAAAGAGTGGGATATTATTTTTAAAGTGACTTGGAAAAAGTCACAGCTCCATCCACAGCTCAACAGTTTCCTTAAGTTTTCTATTTAAAGTGAGAGATGTTTGACTCTTCCTTTCACTCAGAGGCCCTGGTACGTTATCAAATGCCCTAATTACACTATTGGTGTATGTCCGGTAACTGGGAGGCCCGAGGAGAGGGAGGGGGACAGAGATGGGAATGGCCAGTGGGTGGAGCAGTCAGTCAGAGCATACACATTTATCCATTAAGTTCGACATCCTTTATGGGTGCGGTTCGTGGTGCCCCAAAACAATTACAGTAAATCAAACATTACTGAACACAGATCACCATAACAAATACAATAATAAGAGAGAGTTTGAACTATCGCGAGGATCACCACACTGTGACACAGACAAAGTGAGCATATGCTACCAGAAAATGGGGCATCACTTGCTCCGGGCAGAGTTGCCACGGCCTCCGATGTGTGGAGCGCTGAGGCCGATCAGGTGAGGCCTGCCTGTGTTTCAGTGTCGGGGACCGCCGTGACCGGTCACCGCCCTCTACCGTCTCTGTTCTGGAATCTTGCAGCCTCTGTTTCTCCTCTACACCCCCACTCCATCATTTCTTTGCATCATGAAACCTGAATCTCTTGGAAATCAGAAACCTGCTGATGTGATGTATAAAGCAAAACATTTCGCTGTTGGCCACCTGCAGCTACTAACCCAGCTGGGAACTGGCCAGGAAGCTCCTCCTGGGGAGGCTCCACTCGGCCCACGTGTGGCTGTGCAGGCCACCATTCTGCCTCTTCCGTGGCCTCTCTGAATTTCTGAAGCCGTTTCAGTGGTTTTGCATCCCTGTCAGAGCCTCAGATAAACGTGGCAAAGAGAATGTCCTCCCACGGATGTCTTCCCATTATCTCGGTGGTATCTTTCACCTGCGTCAGGTGTTATAAAGCTAATGAACTCACTTGCACATTCCTTTTTATGTTTTTTTAATTTTTTTTTCCTTTATTGATTTGAGAGAGAGAGACATCGATGAGAGAGAACATCGATTGGCTGCCTCCCGCATGCCCCCCATGAGGATTGGGCCCACAACCTGGGCATGTGTCCTGACCGGGAATCAAACCTGCGACCTCTTGGTGCAGGGGTCGACACCCAGCCACTGAGCCACAACAGCCAGGCTCACTTGCACGTTCTTGAACACGTTCTTGGGAGTCGTGTGCAGCCCATCGAGGTGAGGTGAGGCATTGCTCCTATCCTGCCACGTCTGCCTCGGAAGAGTGATATCTTGTTCTCTGAAACTTTCTCTGGACCCACTGTAGTGTCATGATCATTCATGCTGTCCCCCAGTATCATCACAAAGCTGTGCAACAGAATGACTTCCCCCAGTGTACCCCGCAGCAACTCCACGTTGAGAATCATCTGTTGTAAAGCTGTGTTGGAAAAAAGCCACAGGCCCAAAATGGAGTCACTTGGGCTAAGCTCACGACATCAAACCAAAACTTAATAGCTGATCTAATTGCTGTTTTGACCTTTCCCAGGGATGTAATCCTAACTGGTCAGTCTGGAATGTTCTGGTCAGCACCTGTGACGTCATCTGCCCAATAGCCCCCTTTCCAGTCCCCGGGGAAGATGAGTTAGTCTTTTCTCTCCTTATCCCTGCCCCCAGTCTGTCCAGCTCGGAGCACCTCTCTCCTTGCGAGATGGGGTGCTGCCTGGTTTGTGAATCATTCAGTAATGCCAAGTAGATCTTCACATTTACTCAGTTCAGTTGTTATTTAACAAATGTCACTATTCATTGTCATGAAATACTGTCAGAACGACAAGGTGCTCAAGAACACCTCTCTAGAAAGAGGTGTGATCTTTGACTAATTTCAACTTTTGTTGGGGGAGGGGAGACAGCAGTTCGGACCTGGGACCACAAGACCTGGGGTGCTGCAATCTTTCCTGGTAAAATCAGACTGCAGGGAAACTGTACCCGTTCCTTCCCCCCCCCCCCGCCACCCCAGGGACTTCACCCCTTCCCACGATGGTGTTTAGTCCCTTCTGCTGTTAGAAACAAGAAAGGTCGTTGGACCAGACTGCGGCAGTTGATGTTGATTGTTTCTCCCAGAAAAAGTTTCAAACATGAAAACCATGTTACTGTTGATATTAGTTTTAACTTTTTCTATTTCTAGTTTCTCTAGCGTATTTCTAGGTTTCCAAAAGTAAGGACTGATGAAATACCATGGTACATGGGAAATTATTGAAATTTGGTTGAGATTTAGGACAGACTTAGTTTTGGGTTTAGATGATTTTTCTGCTCTTAACAGCAGAATTATTTTGGAAGTAGGAACACACATGCATCTTTACTAGGAGACTGAGATGATGAAGTTCCTGAATGTGCATCGACATTGTAAGTCTTCGATGGACTTGTCTCCTTGTCCCTAGTCCAGGACCATGTCTGGGGAGCTCCCACCAAACATCAACATCAGAGAGCCTCGATGGGATCAGAGCACCTTTGTGGGACGCGCCAATCATTTCTTCACTGTGACGGATCCCAGGAATCTCCTGCTCACCAACGAACAACTAGAGAACGCCAGAAAAATCGTGCATGATTACAGGTAACATCAGTGGCTGTTCTTTCTGGCTGACTGTGATAACGGATCATCATGTTAGCCTATTGTCTTTAAACCTTCACTTAGCAATGGAATCCTTTTTACAAAAAAAAAAAAAGGAAATAGGAAGATGTGTTTTACCCCCCTTTGCTGACCCTTAACACAGGTGTCCAGGGGTCATAGTACCCTGAAAATGAGACAGCCCCCCCGTTCATAGGTGCCAATCGGTGTGGTCCCTTTTGCACAGCACCTGCCCTCTCCCGTACCCCCGCCTGCATCTGCTGCCCCCTAGCATCTCTCCATCTCCAGATGGAGAAGCACACGCACAAGGCACAATGCCAAGGATTAGGGCATGCTGGTTGCTTCCGAGATAACGCCCCAATGAATAAACACCACAGGTAGGAGCTCAGATGCGAAGGATGCTGGGGTAAAGGGCTGCAGGTTGGGGGCCCTCCATCAGCTCAGAGAGCCGGCATCTGGCGAGGGAAGGGTGACGCTCCAAGGCAGGGGTCGTAGCTTTCTCCCTGAGGACCATATAAGACCTGTTTCTGGCTTTACGGACCACAAAAGATTTCTGTTGCATATTCTTTGTGTTTTGGTTTTGGTTTATTTTAAATAATCCTTTTAAAAATGTAAACATGAGCCCTGGCTGGTTTGGCTCAGCGGTTGGAGCCTCGGCCTGTGGAACAGAGTCCCGGGTTCAGTTCCTGCTAAGGGCACGTACCTCAGTTGCAGTTTGTCCCCAGCCCTGTTTGGAGTCGTGTGGGTGGCAACCAGTCGATGTATCTCTCTCACATCGATGTTTCTCTCTCTTTCCACCCCTCTCTCCCTTCTGCTCTCTCTGAAGATAAATGCAAGAATGTCCTCGGGTGAGGATTAAAAAAAATGTAAACATGTAATACGTGTAAAAGCATTTGCCATGTGGGTGGTTAGGAAGGAAACGGGCTACTCGATAAACTCAATTGAAAGCGCTGAGCCTGGTCAGGTGCCACCCGGTGCCAGTGAGGGCGAGGGCGAGGGCATCGCGGGCCTGAGGAGAAGGCCCAACGGAGCAGGCGGGGAAGGCAGCAGACATTCTGGGGAGTGGACGGCCTGTGGGCCTGGGAACAAAGCTGTGAAAGGAGGAGGAGCTGAGATGGAAGGGAGGAGACAGCGGGAGGAACGACCCCAGGGGAGGAGAGAGGGGAGGAGAGGACGGCCCCAGGGGAGGACAGGAGACAGCGGATGGAACACAAGGAACTGTAACCTGTGAGCGCAGAGCTGAGCCCTCGCTGGAGGCGGGGCCGAGGACTGAGTGAGCGAAGAAGGGACGCGGAACGGACGTGGACAGTGGCCTGAGACGCTCCCCACGGGTGGAGGTCAGCGGGGGGGCTCTTCCTGCAGAGGGCCGGCTGGTAAATATGTTAGGCTCTGCAGGCCAGTCTCTGTTGCATAGTCTCCTTTTTGGTTGGTTTTTTTAATCAACCCTTTAAAAATGTAAAACCATCCTGAGCTCAGGCCATTCAGAAACGGGCCCTGGGCTGTAGTTTGTCATCTGACACAGGAGAAGGTGGAAGGTGTGGAAAGGGCACGTTATTTAAGGGGAACAGGGAATGGAGAGTGAACGTATCTCTAGCTGACACTTCGAAAGGAGAACCCAGAGGAACGGAAAAGCAGCAGCACTAAGTGTGAGAGAGAAGTTCCCTCTGGCGAGAAAACACATCCACAAATTAAAGGGACCCATCAGGCAATTTTTTCCTTTTTTCTACAAAGAAACTTTAAAAAATTCCATTAACATCCAAGAGCAGGGGGAAAGGTACTTTAAAAAGCATGTCAGAGAGTTCTCAGTCTTTTCCTCCATACGCTGAACACACCAGAAGACGGCGAAAGAGTGGGCGCAGCGTCCTCAGGAGAGAGCACTGTGACCCTGGGGTTCCACGCCACATTGCACTTCTTTACAAAGGCCACAGAAAAGTATGCAAGAACATCCAAAATAAATTCCTCAGAAATCCTTCTTTTTTTTTATCCTCGCCCGAGGACATTTTTCCATTTTTTGTTCAGGTAGAGTGGGAGGGAGAGAGAGGAACAGAGAGAGAGAGAGAAACATCGATGTGAAAGGGACACATCGAGTGGCTGCCACCCGCACAACCGACCAGGGCCGGGGACAAACTGCAACTGAGGTACGTGCCCTTAGCAGGAACCGAACCCGGGTCTCTCAGGACCACAGGCCGATGCTCTAACCGCTGAACCAAACCGGCCAGGGCCAGAAATCCTTCTTGAATGATCGGGAGATGAGGCAGAATTGAGTTAGAAAATAGGAAATCTGTAATATGTGGAGGTTCCTCGAACAGTGAGAAATAATGTTGTCATGTGACTCAGCAACTCTGCTTTGGGTGTGTAGCCAGAAGAACTGGAATCGGGACCGGGCACAGACATCTGCGCACCCTTGTTCTAGCAGCACCACTCACGGTAACCAAGAGGCAGGCGCAGCCCAACGGGACGGACTGAGGAAGACGAGTGGCTGGGCAAACTGTTAGACATGCAACAGGACAGTATTCGGCCTTAAGGAAACTCACCAGAATAGAGGCACTCTACAACACACGGACCTTGAAGACGTTATGCTAAGTGAAACAAGACGGTCCCCAAAGGACAGGTGCTGTGTGACTGCATTAGATGAGGTCCCGAGACAGGACAGTTCAGAGGCAGAGGGGAGGGCGGCGGTCGGGCCGGGGAGGAGGGAACAAGGAGTCGGGGCAGTTGGTCTGGGGAAGGTGGACAGGTCTGAAGGTGGGCCATGCTGCGGGGACGGGGGGACACTGGATGTGCTTAGTGCCACGGTGCTGTACACTTACCCGTGCTTGAAATGGGAAATTGTGTGTTATCTGCATTTCACCACAATTAACAAAAAGACGAAAAAGAAAACCTTAATATGAATGGACTGTAAGATTCCAAGAAGTCCTGGAGCGAAGAAGGCAGTTTGATGCCCTTTCCGGGACTTACACTTGGACCCTTTCTTTCCCATGACGTCTGCGGACATCCGAGAGAGCACACCCAGAAGCGCTGTGCCGCCAGGCGTTCTCCTTACGTCGGAGCAACTCAGGGTGCCTTTGTGTTCACCAGCACGTGATACGTTCTGGAAGCCCCAACCAGTGCCATGAGACATGGCAGAAGAGGGAGGACCCGGAGATGCTGGAAAGATGAGAATGTTTTTTTGGTAAATGATGATATTCCCAACGATCACGTGAAAAAAACCCCAACAGAACAAATAAAAGAATGTGATGAGGGGCTGCTATCACACACACAAAAAGTAGTTTGTAACCTATACACCAGCAGTAATCAAGTAGATAATATTTTTTAATCTCACCCATAAGAACACAAACTATACAAATAAAATATCTGGGAACAGACTTACCCAGAAGTGTGAGGTGATTTTACTAGAGTCCTGGGGTCATTAGGGGTGGGGGGGCTCTGTAACTGGAGAGATGTGCCGTAGGCTGGAGAGAAAGTCTGACTTTGGTGGGGTGTCCGTTCTCTCCAGAGTGATACAGGTTCAGCTAAATACAGTTGGGATCACTTATAACAGCACCAGCCCCCTAAGGGCTCCCTGGAAGGGTGAATTAGTATGATGAAGGCATTTTTAAGAAAGAAGAGAGTGAGGGACCGCCGCTCTCCCACAGCTCCACGTGAACTGACATTAATGTGGGTGCTGGGACCACGAGATGGAGATGTAGGTAAGGGGAACCCCACAGAACATCCAGAGGCAGGCGCGGATTCACAAACTCTCAACCGTGACGAGGAGATCATTTAAATCTTGGTACTAGAATGGCAGACCAGCCACTGGAAAGTAAAGTTAAGCAAGTTTCACATATTTGTATCTTTTTTTTTTTTTTTATCCTCACCCGAGGACATCTTTGCATTTATCTTCAGATAGAGTGAGAGGGAGGAAGAGAGAGAGAGAGAGAAACATGACATCGATGTAAGAGAGACACATCGAGTGGTTGCCATCCACACGACCCCAACCAGGGCGGAGACAAACTGTATCCGAGGTACGTGCCCCTAGTGGAAACCAAACCCAGGCCTCTCTGGTCCGTGGGCCGACGCTGCAACCACTGAGCCAAACCAGCCAGGGCACATATTTTTGTATCTTAAGATAAATTTCAAATAGATTAAAACCTTATGTGACCAAAACCAAACAAACAAACAATAGTGAACATTTGTATAACCTTGAAGTGGGTCAGGCCTTTCTGGGCAGAAACTTGATTTGTTCCCACCTGACTACATAAAAATGAAAATGTCCAGGACAGCAGATAACACAGGTCACGGAATCATGCACAGTGTGTAAAATGCATACAAGCTACCGAAACAGAAATGCTGCGTCTGTTGCTGATAAAAGTAGGGGACGGAGAGGAGACATTTCAAGTTTTAATGTTTTACATTGCATTTGTCTCAGCAAATGCACCCATTTCTTTCTACATAATCTTGAAAGTGGGGATAGATTTATTTATGAGAATATTTACTTCCTCATTCTTTAGAAATGGAAACATTTAGAAGCAATTAGTGTCCACCAATAGGGGTCGGTATAATACACTGTTTTACAGTAGTTTTTAAATGGATCATGTACTCATTTCCTGTGGCTGATGTGAAAGAACCACAGACCAAGTGGCTTAAAACAACAGACATGCATCTCTCCCCGCTCCCGAGGCCAGAAGTCTGACATCAAGGTGTGGCCAGGCCTGTGCCCCCTCTGAGGCTCTAGGGAGAGTCCTGCCTTCTTCCTCGATTTCTGTCTGTCGTCCATGGCCTTGTTTCTGTAGCTGCACATGGCCTGTCCTTGCATTTGGGCCCCCTCCCAATCCAGCACAACCTCGTCTTAACTAATGACATCTGCAAAGACCCTGTTTCCAAAGGAAGTCACATTCTGAGGTTCCAGGTGGACAAGGTTGTGTGTGGTGGGGGGTCACACAATATTCAGCCCAGTGCAGATGATATAGAAGAATATCTAAAGATGCAGAGAAATGTTTGCAGTCTTACTGAATAGAAACGGGGATGGGAAGGCATCAGGTGTGGTGCGATGCCTTAAATAAACACGTCGTGTAGCCAGATCCCAGAAGGACCAGTGTTCCCCAGAACATCCCCGCGGCGCTGAGCAAGTGAGGCCTGAATGTGATTGTTGTAGTCAGTTTTGTGTTTCCTAATTTTTTAGCAATGAACATGTTTCTTTGACAAGGAGAAAAAAATAATGAGACTTTCTAATCTAGGTTTTCAAACTATAGATATGAAAATGAATTATTTGATTGCCACAGCTTTTGTCTAATTGGATAAAAATATTTTAGAGTTTGCAAAGTTCAAAATACATTTTTAAGTATGTCATTGAAAACTGAATTTTGAAGTTGACTACTTCCCTATTATACAAAGTATGTTTTTGGTTTTCCAAATAATAGATAATTTAAGATATGTGGGCTTGAAATGCTCATTTTAAGCGTCTCCTGTCCTCTGTTATTACAATGTCACTGACAGGTCCTGGATGGGCCTGTCGCTCCATCTGGGCTGTCACTGAAGTAACGGAAGCCTGGAACCCTTGCTGCTTGCGTCCAGACCACTGGGGAGGTGTTTGACATGAGCACTTGTGCTTTGCTTATTGTTTTCTTAGACAGGGAATTATTTCTCCGGGTCTTACGGAAAACGAACTGTGGAGAGCGAAGTACATCTATGACTCAGCTTTTCATCCTGACACTGGTGAAAAGATGGTTTTGATAGGACGGATGTCCGCTCAGGTCCCCATGAACATGACCATCACAGGTTGCATGATGACATTTTACAGGTAAGTTATGGGAAGTTGGCAACAGTTTGTTTTGTATTGCAGAAATTTAGAGTGGATTTTTGTAGGTAAATAATGTTATCGAAATAAATACGATTTCAAGTTGAGTTCCATTCTGTATAGGTGTAACTCTAGGGGTTTGTAGTACCTTTCTCCTTCGCTGAATAGTATTCTCTCCGTTGTTCAAAGTGAGGTTGAATTTTTTTCCTTAAAGCTTAGACCCAAAAGAAAATGAGACAGAAAAATGAAATAAAAAGTGGCCACGCAAATTCTTCCCCAGCCGTGCGTATGACATCAGTGTGGGTGTATGGGTGCAGGTGGAGGTGCAGATGAGACATTTCGGTCACGTGTGCAGTGAGGAGGGGTCGGGACTACTTAGCCTACAAATGTTTTTTCTCCCAAGAAAAGGGACCTGACATTTACTGAGTGCCTACTCTGCCAGGCTCTCTACAAATTTAAGATAAAGTGTGTGTTAACTCCATCCTCACTGTGACCCTCTGAGCTCAGTGTCACTTGTTTCTAACAAATGAGGAAACTGAGAAGCAGAGACCAAAAAAAATCTGCCCAGCCACCAGGTCCTAAGCCTTCGACACAGCATTCTCCTGTCTCCGGTCACCTCCTCTCTGGTCACTGGGGTTCGCGTTTCTGTCCTGCACAGCGGCGGCCACAGGCGACGGCGGCCCTGTGACAGCCGCTCTGTTTCAGGACTACTCCGGCGGTGCTGTTCTGGCAGTGGGTCAACCAGTCCTTCAATGCCGTGGTCAATTACACCAACAGGAGTGGAGACGCACCCCTCACTGTCAAGTAAGGCTGCTGATGTCCCCGCCCGCTGCCCCTCCAGTGTTCATTCCATTGGGTGGTGCTCTCCTGAGCGACAAGTACGTCGTGGGGCAGTTTTCAGCAGTGGCCCTTCCCTCCCACCGCCAAGGTCACTGTAGGAAGATAGGTCTTCCCTCCGCTCGGGCTCTTCTCCCCACAAAACACAGCAGCCGCTCAGGGCTGGTCCCCGTCTCCCTGTGTGTGTGGACAGACGCCAACGTCAAAGGTAGTGGCGTCCACAGTGTGATCTCTGCAGAGGTCAAGGGGGCTTTTATACCTGATATTCTTAAACATTGGTCATCGATGGAGCTAAAAAGAAAGTGAATGGGTTTAAAAGTTTGCCTCCCTGAAAAAAAGTTTTAGACAGGCCAAAGCCATCAGTTAACCTGAATTTTTAGCATAACTTGTCTAACATTTCAGTGTTTTGTTGTATCCCTTTAAATTGCTTTTGACGGTCTGTATTCTTCCTCTGTTGTCACGTGTCACAGACGATACGGACTCTGCAGCCAGCGGTGTTCACATCTGCCCTGCACCCAGTCCTCGAACTGAAACGTATTTCTAATAGGAGGGAATTGCTTGGGCTTCGTTGTATTTCAAAGATGAGACTTTGAATTAGTTTTTCTTTTTATCCTCACCCGAGGACATTTTTATTTTTTATTTTTATTTTTTTTATCCTCACCCGAGGATATTTTTCCATTTTTTGTACAGATAGAGTGGGAGGGAGAGACAGACAGAAACATCGACGTGAAGGGACACATCGAGTGGCTGCCACCCGCACGACCAACCAGGGCCGGGGACAAACTGCAACCGAAGTACGTGCCCTTAGCGGGAACCGAACCCGGGTCTCTCCAGACCGCAGGCCGACGCTCTAACCGCTGAGCCAAACTGGCCAGGGCCCGAGGACATTTTTACATTTATCTTCAGACAGAGCGGGAGGGATAGAGGGAAGGAAAGAGAGAAACATCGATGTGAGAGAGACACATCAACTGACTGCCACCCACACGACCCCAACCGGGGCCGGGGACAAACTACAACTGAGGTACGTGCCCTTAACGGGAATCGAACCCAGGTCAGTCTGGACCGTGAGCCGACGCATTAACCGCTGAGCCAAACTGGCCAGGGCAAGACTTTGGAATTTTTATAAACTAAGATATCATGTTAAGAAGAACAGCATTGCATTTTTACTTTCAGTATGTATCTTAATATTTTGAAAAGTTTTTTAAGCAATCGTGCCACAAACATTTAGGCCAGCAAGCATTTTCCCCAGTGTGCCGTGTCCTCCACATCCACAGCTCCCTTCCCTCCCCGCCCTGCTCACACCTACTCCACGGTCCCATGTGCGCGGAGGTGTGAGGTCCTCCGTGAGGATCCCCTTCCTTGCCCACGGGTCTGCTTCCTGCTCTCTAGGTTTCTCCGCCTGTAGACAGTGAAGTGGTTTGCAGGCTGTGCGTTCTCATCACGCCCCTTCACATTCGCCCATCATCCCTTTAACAAGGGCAGGGCCAGCGTGTCCTGACAACACCCGTTACGTGTGTGCGCTTCTCTTTTCAGTGAGCTGGGGACAGCTTACGTGTCTGCGACCACTGGCGCCGTGGCCACTGCTCTGGGACTCAACGCATTGACCAAGGTGCTCGGGGCCTGTCCCATGGGAAAGCTTCAGATTGCTTCTCGCCTGCCTGGCTCTGAGCACTCCATTGTTTTCCAAGATAGTCGAGTCCTGTGGCTTTCTTCTTAGCCGTTATCTTTGACGGCATGTTTTCATTGTGTCTGCCTTGGGAAGGGGTGCCACCCATAGCCGAGACCCTGGTCTGTGCCTGGCCATCCTTAGTGCTAAGTTAAGAGCTCAGTGCTCACCCACCAGAACAGCCCGCCTGAGGCTGTGTGGGCCGCGGGCCTCAGGCCACACCTCTGTAAGGGGGGATGAGCCAGCCCCTGACCCCAAGACTTTGGGACTCAATGCTCCCCTCCATTCATCACACTCAGCTGCCAAAACATCTTAGAAGTCGCATATGCCCAGCTAGACATACAAAGATAGCTCCAGGAAATAGTCTGAGAGTGCCGTCGGCCCGAGTTTCCGTACAGACGGGACCGTGCATTGCCGGCAGTTTTCAGGAAGCAGTAAGTGTTGTCATTCAGGAGTCAGGGAAGTCGGCCAAGCTCTTGGAATTCTCTTCCGCAGCACGTGTCGCCACTCATAGGACGGTTCGTGCCCTTTGCCGCGGTAGCTGCTGCTAACTGCATTAACATCCCGCTGATGAGGCAGAGGTAAGCCATAGGACTTCTAGACATGGCTTGTGCTTGACCACAGAAGATTCTTGTAAGAATTAGCTTTGTTGAAACTTTAAAACTTACTTTAGCATTTACAGGTAAAATCATATGAGATTGGGGACCTGCCTGAAAGTAGTCTGGAGTTGGGGTGCGGACGGAGCCAGCTTAGCCGCCAGGTTGCGAACTGCCGGGCAGGCTGAGGGCAGGAGGTTGGCACACTCCCTGCGCTTCCATGTAACAAAATGTTTGCAAGCCTGTACCTCAAACCCAGATTTCACTGTGCCCGGGCTAGGCCGAGAAGGCCTGTAACAGAAAGTTTGTTCTCTGGATAGGTCCTTCGTTTCCCCTAGAATTGTCTTTTGGAGTTTAAAATATACTAATCTATATCTTTGGAAGTATTCTTTTTAGAACTGGCAAAAATTAAAGGAGAAGAAAGAATGGGGAAAGGCATTTGGGGATGGATCATGAGAAACAGGGTAATGATAGGAGCTCTGATGACAGCGTCAGTAACTTGGTACCGGTTTGCCACAAACACCCCCTAGCGCCCTCTGCTGGCGACTCCCCCGGGTCCTCCTCAGGTCACTTGGTTCTGCCTGGTGTCAGATCTCTCTCATTGGGAAAGTCACTCAAACTTGCACAGCATAACAATCATCCTTCCTCTCCAGTTAGTATAGTCATCCTTCGAGTCACATTTTATTTAAATTGCTACCCCTCCTCCCTTTTTAAAATAAAGTTACCATGTTATTTTACTTCTGTGCCAATCACACAAGGACTAAACTTGTTCGTGGTATATAAAAAGATACTTGTTCTTGCCCAAAATGACTCGAGTGGGTGATCGGATGAAATGGGGACTTGGTCTTTCCAGTCGTTTATGAAGCATCTGGGAACATCTCGGCATGCGTTTTGCTCTGTAGGGAACTCAAAGTTGGCATTCCCGTCACAGATGAAAATGGGACCCGCTTGGGCGAGTCGGCACAGGCTGCGAAACAAGCCATCGCACAGGTGGTCGTCTCCAGGATTCTCATGGCCGCCCCTGGCATGGGTTAGTACGACTGTCATCCATCCATTCATTCAACAAATACAAATTGGAAAGGGTTTGTGCATCCATGAACCAAAAATATCATTCCCCTGGGTGTTGGCTCCTTTGTAGGTGAGAATACCGGAAGCTGAGGCTCAGAGAGGTGAGGTGACTCTTCCGGGGTCACACAGCTAGCAAGAGGTCTGCCGGGCTTGAGGCAGGAGTCTCAGCGTCTGCTGCACAGGCTGCCCAGCCCCCGTGGGGGCGGCGTTTGTTTTATTAGTACAGGAGGCAGACCTCCTGATGTTGGCGCTGTTCATATTTAAAGTCTAGTGCAAAGCTCTCTTCAGGAATATAGGACTTTCTGTTTGGAAAAGAGCGTTACATTATTTTTCAAAAATCTAGAGAATGGAAACAGCAGATTATTTTTTCAATCCTAAAGTATTTTAAAGAATTCTTACAAATAGTCTCACTCTGCCACTATGAAAATAGCCTAAAAGTGATATGAGCTTTTTGTCAAATTGTTGAGGAAAAAATATGAGCTGAAAATAGACATGAAATAAAGATTTAAGTGGGTCTGCTTTCACTTCCAGCCATCCCTCCGTTCATCATGAACACCTTGGAAAAGAAAGCCTTTCTAAAGGTAAGCCCTGGTTCTGTTTGTCAATGTCTCTGTCCTTTCCAGCCCTTTCCAGACCTCACACCGTGCGGAGCATTTCCTACGAATTTGAAGGCCAGTGGCACTTGGCCACTTACGTAACTAAAAAGATGTTTCCAGAACATTTCATTCCTAGTCTCAGATGTTTGAAAAAGCTCTTGTAAACGAAAAAGTGTTGCCTGTGTCTACCGAGAGGTTATGACTCAGTCATCTTCACCTTAGCTAGGCAATATGATGGAGGGTGTGAATTTGGAAATCACAAGTCAATATCGACACTATCAGAAATGAAAAAGTAATTTGCAGGTTGCTTCATGGAACAGTGAGTTTGGTGCCCCGGTTTATTTTTCTTTGAAGAGCATATTTAATAATTCGTTAATCTATCAACTGCATCCCCCGTCCGACAACGTCACAGGATGAAACTAACCAAGAGATCTCAGCGCTTTCTCCTCGCAGCGTCCGTGGCTCGGTGCAGTAGCTCGTGCTTTACCTCGGTCCCCTGTTCTTTCTGGGAAGACTTGGGATGCGGAAGAATTATACTCCCCCAGCTTCTTCCTCTAGCAGGCCTACATGTGGATATGAAGTGTGCAGTAGCGTGTCACTGTGGCTCTCTAGTGTCCCATTGTGCCTCGGAGCCTCCCCAGGAGAAATCCACAGGCCCCTGGTTCCCACCCCCAGGGCGCTGCACCCTCAAAAGACCTCTGCAGACCTGTTTGAGAAGTAGGGATGAATTTACAGGGGGGCTGGAGGAGTCAAGAGGAGGGGTCACATCCAGTGTGAGTTTCATGGGCTAAGTCAGACTTCGCCAGGATCCTTGTTACTGACCTTTCCACTGAGACCCTCTGCCTTTCCTTTGCTCACGTCCTCTGAGATGACGGGCAGCTGCCCCGTGCTAACGGGAGCCCGGGGTGCTGCAGGCAGGCTGGCAGGAGCCCCAGTTCACCCTTCCACAACAGCTCGTTCAGAACCTGGCCAGAGTAGATGTCACGTGTCTGGGAAGTGCAAGGACAAGGATTTAGCGTCTCCTTATGAAAATCCTTCACCAGACGGAGCGAGGTGCCCGAGATCCAGCATTTCCTCTCCTTGCTGTCCTTTGAGGGTGGGGCTCGGTGGATCTGTCTCCTCTTGACAACATCTCTCCCTTCCTCTCTAGTCCACGCCTCTCTCCCCTCACGTTAACCTGTGCGATGTCCTCTCTCACCGGAGGAGTCTTCGGGGACCAGGGTACGCCTTGCACACAGCCCTTGGGATCACCATCTAACCGCTTGCATTGACTCTTAACTAAATTGGCTGATGTCATGACAACCAGCTCACAATTTGGTTGCAGCTATTTCTGTGGCCTTAGTTATGGGACCATCAACCTCATCGCTCTTTATAGTGTATATGTTGGTACCACTCCTTTTGTAAACTAAAAATCTAATAGCACTTATTCTCTGAAAGACTAACTCAGTCATTTCCATTAAAAAACAAAAACGTGACAGGCAAAGTGTCTGACGCCAGCTCATAGCTTGAACCAGACGGACAGTAGCTCAAACCAAGAAGGAAAAGCTGCGGGGGCGGGGGTGTTGGTGGAGCCTCTGCTCCATCCCAGGCACCGGCCCGCTGTTCCGTGGGTGTGACCTGGCGGGTCCTCCCCCGCATGCTCTTAGGAGGCTGTGGCAACCCTCGTGTTGCAGACAGGGACACGCAGCTGGAGGGTTGGTCTGCCGGCTCCCCACCGGTGGGAATGAGCTGCTAGGGCAGACACGGCGCCAGGCTGTGCTGCCTCCCGGCCAGGAGAGGCATTATAGCTGAACACGGCGAACTCTCCACCTCCTGGGTCCAGCCCAGCTCATGTGCGAGGGAGAACAGGGAGAAGCCGCTTGGTCTTTGCATGTGCGCTTACTGACGGACGGGGTGTGGCAGGAGTCCAGACTGGCATGCTGGTTGCAGTGTCCCCCGGACTTCACCGATCACTTTCCATCTGGACTTGTGATGTGGAGACGTTCTTCCAGCTAATCGGCACAAGAAATGGTCTCTAAGAGCTTTATAAAAAGTATTCAAAATAATTTATGTCTCAACACAGAGGTTCCCGTGGATGAGTGCGCCCATTCAAGTCGGATTGGTTGGCTTCTGGTGAGTAGAGTTCCTTTGAGATCAATAATTTATTTTTAAAAGATAAATGTGCAGCATATGAAAGGGGAAGGAAGGTGGAGATAACATGGGACCCAGTTTTGAAAATGAGACCATCCCAGAACACCTGGGACTTAGGGGCCCAATAATTAGCTAGAATTAAACTGTCTTTAGGGAAACCTACAACATTTGGGGCTGTTTGCACGATTCTTTGAAACGCCTCGGGTTTTGTTGTTTGTTTTAATTATTTGGCACTCCTGGGCGTAATAAAATGATACAAACAGAACATTTTTTGTGTGCATGTGGGGCTCAAAGAGAAAAAGGGAGTTGTTAGAAAAGTAAACTAGAAAAAGAATCTGAGAAGTCAGCCATTTCCAAGAGCTCTGATTTGTCTTTTTTCTTTTAAGTCTGGTGTTCGCTACGCCCCTGTGCTGTGCTCTGTTTCCCCAGAACAGGTATGTCTGTTACTCTTCCCAAGATCATGGGTTTTAATCCGAGAAACCAGGTGAAGACACGGGGCTGTTACTCCATTTCACTGGTGGGGAAGTTGAGGCTCCGGCAGGTGAAGGAAGCCAAAGTACATAAAACCAACAGCTGGAGGCGGAACTCACATGCACATCTGTTCAATTTCAAAACGCTCTTTACCCAGCCCTTTGCTCTCTGCTCCTGATCTGTCTGAAAATGCCTGTTTTTTGTAGGAGTCAGGTTAACTCTGGGGCGAACTTGCTTTTATAAACATTTAAATGCAGTTCACTGCCGTCCAGCCTGTCGGCACCTGCACCTGCCGTCCGATGCATCGGCATTGAAGCCCCGCCCCCAGCCCCAGGGACAGCACTCCGCCACTGAGCTTGGGGCGCTGTGTTTGCTTCCCTTACCCCACTTGGTTTTGTGCTTTAAAAGCCTCATTGTGCACTTTCGTCTCAGGCTGCCCTCGCGTCCTGCTTTTGACACCAGAACTGGACTGACCGGCATTGACTCAGCTTCGTATAAATCTAGGTCTTCAGCCGCCTGCGCTCACTTCCAGGCACAGAGCAGGGCCGTTTGTTGTGTGGGTTCTGTATAAGTGTTGCCCAGTTTCTGCCTTGTGGTGCCTTCCTGAGCTGACAGGTCCCGGCACGAGGTCTGTCATGCTTCGGGCTTTCAGAGTAGGCTTCGGATGAGGCATTCTGTCCCAGAACGACCTTTCTCAGGTCCTTCCACCTGACAGCGCCACCTCCTACCTGCCCGTCCTCTTCTGTCTGCGACCCTGCCCTGCCTGAAAAGGAAAGCAAACCTGTCACCACCTTGGCGCGGGCAGCCAGACTCCTCTGGACAGGGCAGGACCTTCCAGGCCCCACCTCTGCCCATTAAATAACTGTGCTTTCTCCCTGACTCCAGCTCCATGTCTGTGACAAGCCTGGAGGCTGAGCTGCAAGCCAAGATCCGAGAGAGCCACCCTGAGTTACGACGAGTGTACTTCAACAAGGGGCTGTGATGCAGGGAGAGACCCCTCCGCCACAGCCCGCCCAGCCTGGGGGCCTTGGTGAGGAGGTCCTGTTCCCCCGGCTCCCCCAGGCACAGGACCGCTCGAGACCCACGTTCGCCTTCAGAGTCCAGCTGCCACGTACCGCACAGCACTGGGGGCGGGCCAGGCGCCCACACCGGTGGCCCTCTCACCCCGAGTCCTGCCACATGGACAGAAACAGCCTTCCTGTAGCTTTTATAGTCATTGCTCAGAGAGCACCCTGCCCTCACCTCGATTTTTAAACAGCACTGTTAGGCACCGAGCAGCTGTCCAGAATGTGCTCAAGGAACTGACGAGCAGTCCGTGAAAAGGAATCTGGGTAATATGTTGCATTTTTATCCCACTCTTGTTTCAAAACAGGGCCATCTAGGTAGTGATTTGGGAAAACACGGGAGCGCTGAGGCTAAGCTATAAGAAACGACTCGTACATATTAAGGGCCGTTGGCCTCCAGTTTGGGCAGCGGCAGCCCAAAGCAGACGACGAGTCCTGGGGGCTCGTGGGGTGAGACCTTCACATACCTCCCGAGAGTCACACACAGACGCGCGTGGCGAGCCAGCCCTGCCCTCGAGCTGTGTGCTCCCGGCTGGCTCTTAAATGTACTCTGTTGTACCCTCTTACACAAACGTTATTCCTGTTGACTTGATACTCAGTTATTTACATCAGATAATCAGATAACTAAAATGCACGAATGTCAGGTTTAGGACGTTACTCAGTACTGGTGCTGGTGTATGACTGGGTGGACTCTGATTTGTCTGACAGTTTTCAGAAGTGAGATTACAGCTCCAGCCCCCACATGTCTTTTCTTGTCCTCATAGCTCTCATTGGCTTTCCGAAAGAACAGACATAATGTGTATGAACCGTGACTGAATGAATTTTACTTGAAGGTTGTGTATTACATTCCATCCTGTTTGGAAATAAGGACTCCTTGGACCACTGTTTACATCATCTGTAGTAGTTTCACATTTAATATACTTCACGCGACAGAGATTGTGTTTCCGTCCGTCGATGTTCAAAGGCGCAGGCAAGGTGGTTGTGCCCTTGCTTGTAGACTGCTCGATTTCCATTGTGATTCTGAGATGCGTAAGTGGGAAAATGTAGAAACTAGTCTTGGCAGGTTTCCCCTGACAATGTGACCACGCTGATTTCCTTGTAAGGAGAATGGTGTGCCTCGTGTCTCTGCAGGGCGGGTGGGTCTGAGCTCTGGGCCTTACCTTACGCCACCAAAATGTTCCCATTTCGGTTTCCTGTCTTAAACCCTATGAAGCGAGAGAAGTTCCCCATGACACATTCTGGCCTTGCCTGGGTTCGTTGCCACAGATGCTTCTGTTTAAAAAGTAGAAGCCTGAAGTTCAAGGCAGATCTTCAGGGGGTGCTTCAAGGGTGCTTTTAACAAGAACCCAGAGCACGTGGAGCCCCTCTCACCCGCCCGAGCTAATTGCAGAATTCTCACCCAGGTCACTGGGGGCTCCATTTCAGAATCCTTGCCTTTGCTGAAAAATTAATAGCTGGGAAGAAGGTTGATGAACTAAAATTTTTAGACACTGGGGAAGACGTGATCTAAGCATCGTTATAAAAGGGATAATGAGCCTGGCTGGTGTGGCTCAGCAGTTGAGCGTTGACCCATGCACCAACAGGCTGCCGGTTCGATTCCCGGTCAGGGCATATGCCCATATTGTGGGCCCGATCCCCAGTGCGGGGCATGCAGGAGGCGGCCAGTCAATGTTCTCTCATTGACATTTCTGTCTTTCTCTCCCTCTCCATCTCTGTAAAATCAATAAAGAAAAAGAAGTTTAAAAAAAATATATATATATATATATATATATATAAAAGAGATAATGAACACGGAGCTGTGTCTATTTGAACATTATTTATGGATGCTTCCAGCTCTTGATGCTTTTACCTATAAACACCTACTGTCTGGTTTAATCATGGTTTATGAAAAGGAACAAATGAGCCAGGATTGGCGGCCTTTGCTAACCCTTGGACACCCTTTCCCGGAGGAAGTCCCGGCGGCCTGCACGCCCCAGTGGGCACGAGGAGGTACGCACGCGCCGACCGGCGGTGTGCCCTCCAGTGTTGGGATCGATGTCTTGTTTCAGTTCAACTGGATGGAATGTTAAATAAACTCAGAATTAAAGTAAATTCTTTTATTTGTAAAGAATAATGCAGTTCCCAGAGCTCTGAGCTTCATGGGTCAGTTTGAGATTGACTTGTAATTGTCTATGAATTTACACTTGGCCCTCACCAGATTCCGAGTGAGCACCCGGTTCAATGCCGCCACACTTAGGGACACAGCATCAACAGGCTCGCGAGGGCAGAGACTTCTGTTTGTCTACTCCCGTGTCTCCACACCCAGAACAACTGGCCAGCCAAGGGTCCGCGTGATCATGGGGTTCAACCTGGGCTCTTTCCAGGAATCTGAAAAAGTGTTCTCACGTCTCCAATTTCCAAATGCGGAAAATAATCCATTTCGTGTCGCGGAAAGGTTGTTTCCAGAATGTGGAAGAAACAAAATGTGGGATTTTTCTGGGAACAGAGCTGGAAACAACCTGATCTCTGGGAGTCTCCAGGGAAGCGGCTGTGAGCACCAAGTCCTACCATGTCCCAGAGCCAGCCCTCTTGTTCTGGAGGACCCCTCCGCCCCGGGCCTTCCCGAGCAGAAACAGCTAGGGCTTGTTAATCCACAATGCGTCCATAACATCCCCATTTGTAAAGAGAAGGAACTTGAGGCTCAGAGAAGCGGACTGACTTGTCTCATGTACAGTGGCCCAACCACCATCTGAGTCCATACCTGTCCAGCCCCAGGTGCTTCCCACTGGGCTTCCCAGCTTCTGCAGCAGCAGGAATGACTACAGCCAGCTTTGGTAGAACATGTCATGATCGTCCAGTGTTTTTTGGCTTGCGTCACTCCTTGTAATACTCCCAAGGGTTCTTCTGTGCATCATTTCTATTAAAAATTTGTGAAGAAGTAAAATCACTTGCCACAAACCTAACTTGGGGCAGTCAAAGGACTATGAGAGATCAATTCACACACACACACGGTCTAGAGGACACACAGAGCTCAAATGAGTACCCACTCAAGGTTAAAGTTAGGTCTGTGAGGCCCTGTCCAGATAGGGTCCCCATTAGAGTAATAGGAGCAGTGGTCAAAGTGTGCTCCCCAGGCCAGCAGCTACGGCATCACTGGGAACTGGAAATACAGGTTCTCAGGCCCTTCCCACACCTCCTGAATCAGAAACTCTGAAGGTGGAGGCCAGCCAACTTTGCAAGCCCCGTGCGTGGTTCTCATACATTCAGATTGAGAACCACTGGGTGGGTGTTAGGACGAATGCTGTGGTTGGGTTCAGTCGTGAACCGAGTCAGGCTAAGCTCTCTAAACTTCAGTTTCCTCGTCTGTAAGATGAAGATAAGACTACTTCCCTCTAAGTAACTGTGAGAATCCAGCGAGTATTAGTAAAGAGACAGCACTTGTCCCGGTGCTGAGCACCCTGTACATTCAGCCCACATGTGGCCCCGGGGGACCAAACATCTGACCACACAGTTGGTGAGTCTACCAGGAAACAGGCCGTCAGGGGACTGCTGGTGGGTGTGAAAGTTGCGTCGATTCCTCTACAAGACTGTTTGGTTTGACAGGATCTATAAACATTTACGAAAGCACAGATACGAATCAATCCCTCAGTACAGGGCGCATACGGGAGGCAACCGGTCGATGTGTCTCTCTCACATCAATGTTTCTCTCTCTCTTCTCTAAAATCAATTTAACAAATATATATCCTCAAGTGAGGATCACAACAAGAAAAAAGAATGAATCCCACAGATGAATATACCCCGGTTCATGGAAGGCATGACCACAGGGGTCAGATGGAAGAAGGGGAACTTTGGAGGATGTTTCCAGAGAAACCACCAGGCAGGAAGACAGTGAAAGTACACCCAGCTGTGAGGTCATCCTTTCAAGAGAGGATAAATGGATACATAACGGCTGATTTTTACAAATATAAACTAAACTGAGAAGAAAGACTCTCTCTGGATGGTGGGATTATACATAATTTAAAATTTTTCTCCTTTATGCTTTTCTGATTTTGCAGATTTCCTTCTGCTTCTGAACTCAGGACATATTAAATGCTATGTTTTAAACACCCCTGCAGATGATAATCTTATCTTTCCAATAATAAGTGCATTGCTATATGTAAAAGTGATATAGCCCAGCTGGTGTGGCTCAGTGGTGGAGCGTCGACCCAGGCACCAAGAGGTCACCAGTTCAATTCCCGGTCAGGGCACATGCCCAGGTTGTGGGCCTGATCCCCAGTGGGGGACATGCAGGAGATGGCCAATCAATGTTCTCTCTCATCGATGTTTCTATCTTTCTCTTCCTCTTCCTTCCTCTCTCTCTCAAATCAATAAAGAAAAAAGTATTTTTTTAAAAAAAGTTATATTAGCAGGCTATATAACAAAATGGTTAACAGTTGGTGTCTCTGGATTTACAAGTAATTTTTATTTCCTATAGTTTTCTGGGTCTTCGATTTTCTGGAATGCACCTGTATCATTTTGTAACTGGACAAACGTTAAGTTCGTCCCCAAACCATTGCTGTGGTTTGGGAGCCCCAGGCTGGGGAGAGAGCCGCAGCATGGAGAGGCGCCGCCAGGGGGCAGCATTGCCTGCAAGATTGCGCCGCAGGACTGGGAGCTGAACGCAAGTGGCTCAAAGCCAAAGTGGTATCTGGATTTCCCAGGCCAAGTCAAGAACAGGGTAGAAGAAGCTATGAGAAAGACATGATCTCGCCAGAAATGGCAAACTAAAGACACCAGAAATGGATTCATCCACTGGGGCTTATTGTACCCGGTCCCTGAATTCCAGTGGGAGGGGGCAGGGTTGGAACACAGAACAACAGGAGACCAGACCCAGTCTGTACCCTCAGGACCATCAGTGCTGTGACACCAGCCAGGAACCCTGCTCAGGGGAGGACTTTGGGGAGTGGCACCTCAGCTGACACCTGGAAAGATGAGTAGGAATTACTACGGGAGAAAAGGGGCAGGAAAGGAACTAGGGCTTCTGGGTAGAGGGGACTGCCCATTAGAAGATCTGGAGACCAGAGAAAGCAGGGCTGGATGTGAGCAAGGGAGGGCTTTAGAGAAGATCCGCCAGCTTCCTCCGATGCCTGGGGAAGGAGCGCCGTCTGCATCTGCAAGCCGGGCTCACTCTGCCGGGTCTGGTGCAGGGGGACAGCAGTCCAGGCCTAGCTCTGCCACTCACTATTTTCCTGACATGGGTCAAGCCAGTTGCCCTCTCTGAGCCTCAATGTTCTCATCTGTAAAATGGAGACAGTAAAACCCACCTTAAGTCTTATTGTGAAGATTCAAAAGGGTAAACTGGGAACTCTTCATGACTTTCCTTCCCTTGACCTTTGATTTCTCCACAATAACATTAGAAGGGAAAACAGACAAGCAGGCCACTTCTAGTGGGCCACAGTGTGGGCTGAGCACCGATCAGAAGTCCCGGGGAGTTGCCCCAGCTTGTTTTCAGGGTGCAGGATGTTGGCTCACCCCATGTAATTGCAATCAAGAACAGGTCAGCCCTCTCATTCCTGTTGAGAATGAAAATGTATTTTAATCATGTGCAATCTCCATGAAAGATGATAGCATGAGAGAATAATTTGTTAAATAAAGCTAAAAATAGAGACAAAAACATCAACTCCATTGAAATAGGAAAGTACAAAACCTTGTGATTCAAACTCTGAATAATAATGTCCATGAAGAATGCAGGAGGGCTTGCTGGGCACTGTTGCCCCAGCCAAGGGGCATAGGTGACGCAGGGCACAGGGAACCCCCGCTGGTGGCTGTCCTGCTGGGGCATGGTGCAGGTGCACCACGATGGGACAGTCTCAGTGACTGGGGGCTTCCATGTGCCAGGGGCTGTGCTCAGCACCCAGTCCTCACACAACTCGTGAACTTGGGGATCATCAGCCCCATTTTGCAGGGAACAAAACTGAGGCATAGAGAGGCTGTATCTTGCCCAAGATCGTACCACCTATAAGAGGCACAAGTACACAATAAGACTTCAGCAACAATCTCAACCTCTGCTGAATGAGACGGAAAATTGGACAACTCTATCCCTTGTCCCGGAGACCTGGCGAGTGGGCAGGACAGAGCCAAGTACTCCACATGAGGCTCCTAGACGGCCGAGTTACTGACTTCATTAAACACTTCCCAAGGGTCCTCTCCTAAAGGACTTCCCTTCTGCGCTTAGGGAAGACCAGGTAATCATTTGCACACTTAGAGAATGGGTCGACTGAGTGTCACTGTTAATGGTGCCCCCTCCTGTTCTCAGTTGCCCTGGTTTGGACAATAAATTGTGTCTCCCTCTACAAAATTCTGTTAAGTTAGGCATATAGATCAATGGAACAGAACAAAGAACCCAGAAATTGACCCAAATCATTATGCTCAATTAATATTTGACAAAGGGGGCAAGAGCATACAGTGGAGTAAAGACAGCCTCTTCAATAAATGGTTGGGAAATTAGATAGCTACATGCAAAAAATAATGAGACTAGACCACCAACTTACACCATACACAAGAATAACCTCAAAATGGATAAAAGACTTAAATGTGACTCGTGAATCTGTAAATATCTAGAAGAAAATGTAGGCAA